ATGATTTTGGTGTATAATAAGAATCTAAAAAAAATTTATCATTAATATATTAAATTAAATTTAAATAATAATACTAATAACATATTTACTAAGTAAATTTTCGTTAAAATCAAAATCATCATCTAAATTTTCATCAGAATTTTCAAAATCTACAATTTTGATCGCTTCAGGAATATTTTCTTTATCATAAATACCTTGGATAAATAATTCATCAATTAAACTACAATTTTCATAAGGTTTATCACTATAAATAAGTTCATAAGGGTTTTTTTATGTGATCTACAAACAGAATTATTCATGGATAAAATCACTAAGTGAAGTCCATATGACCAATCATTTCTTTCAGAGGTTTTCCTTTACTTTCCTAATTTTTGTTGTAAAATACCATTTCCTCTTTTTACTAAACCTTGATATTGTGGGTGACGAGGTCTTCTATTGATAATTTTTATAGATAGCTAAAGATTAACAAGTTCTTTGATTATTTCAGTACAAAATTCTTTTCCATTATCAGATTGTAAAATAGTTGGAGGAAAACTAATAAAAAAAAATAAATCAAATAAAAAGGCTGCTACTTCAATAGCTCGTTTAGAAGTAAATAGTTTTGCTCAAGAAAATCAAGTAAAATGATCATGAGCATGATAAATATATTTGTAATCACTATTACCATCATAAGATAAATCAATTAAATCTATTTATAGAAAAACTTTTAAATTAAAATGCATTTATTCATAATATTAATTAATTAAATAAATTTTTTTAGTTACCTGCACATGAGATAAATAGTTTTTTGCAATTATTGGTTTATTTGCTAAAGGATGAAAAAAAGGCTTTCGGGTAGCACATATAGTGCAATTGTTAACAAATTTTTTAACAATTTTCTGTCTTACAAAGCTCCAATTTTGTTTAACTGACCCCCATAGTTGCTTTTGACCTACATGATTATCAATTTCAGCATGCGTTCTGCATAGTACTTTATACATATTTTTAACTTTTAAAACAGGTTTATTATCTTTTTTAACAATAATTCTATAGTCTTCTGAAGTAATTTCTTCAAGAATAAAGCGTTTTTTAGCCCATTTACGTGTAGTTTTTGTGTCAATTTCTTTGTCAAAAGGGTTAAGTAATATTTTTTTTATTCGTTCAAAAAGATTCATATTAACTAAGGCTTTTTCTTGACGACAATCTGGTAGAGAACTTATATATTTATTAATTATATCATCAAGTGTAGCCTTACTAATAAAATTGTATTCCATCTTAAAAAAATTGAATATTGATAAAAAAAATGTGAGACGAAAAAAAATAAGGCGTAAAGTAAATGATGTAACAATGATATTAATTATTTATTTGATCATTAATGCGTCAGATAACAGCCAATGCGCCTTAGTTGTCAAATATTAACTGACGCACTTCAAGTATCGATCGACACCTGACATGCGTCAGCTGCATCTGACGCAAATCGACACTTGATACACAACATAAATAATATAAATTTTATAATCTGTAATAATTCTGATACAAAAAAGTTTTCTGAAAAGTTTTTTGATAATATTTCAGAAAATAATAACTGTAATGATAAAGATTACTTTGAAAATAATAATAATTCAAATCTTTTATTTTTAAAATTAAAAGTTGATTGAAATTTTTTATTTAAAAATCAGCATATAAATATATTAAAAAATGATTATTTCAATAGGTTTTTTTATTTTAAAATAAATATAAAAAAGCTATTTCTTTAAGTATTTTACAGGCAAATTTATCTGCAATTTTATTTAATAATTAAAATATTTATAATAAGTTTAAATATTTTTAAAATAATTTATTTAAAAATTAATATTTTTATAATAAATTTTATACTATTTTAAAGTAAAAATTCAAAAAAAAATGTGATTAATTAGTGATATTTTAAAGATAAATATATGATAAATTATTATGAAAAAAAAGTTAAAATTTTAAACTTATATATCTTACTATTTACTAATCTCAGAAATATAAAAATATAATTATTTAATAAATCTTAATAAGATAAATCCAATAAACTAAATTTTATTTCTTATAATAATTAAATAATAAGTTATTTTAAAAAATTAAAAAATCAATATATATTAATAATTATTAATTTTAAAATTTTTAAAATACTATCATTAGATACATCTTAATATAACAAATCTAATAAACTTTATTTTATCTTTTTATAATCACTAGATATTAAAATATTGTAATTTTTCTACAATGTTTTATAATCAATTTATACTTACGTTTTAAAGGATAACAAAAAATTAAATTTATTATTAAATTTAAATGCTTTATAACTAGTATTCTATAATATTTAAATGATTTTTTAATTAAATTTGATCAAGCGATTCCTTTGTGATTTTTACTTATTTAGTTAGTTTAAATATGATAGTTTTTGGACGATGTTATTGCTCACCAGAGGTAAAATTCACCATTACACAAATTTCCAAAAAAGGAAATTTTATTTTTTTATGAAATTTCAGATTGACACTAAAAAATACGTTATACCGGATTCCTTTTTTGGAAATTCGTGTAACATCACGTGACCATCCCAACCAAGTCATGTAACAATTTGTTGGCTGATATGGAATCAATTGACATGACTAACATGACTAACATAACAGTCGCTTAATTGATTAACATATATATCCCCAAAACTTTAGACTTTCTTTTGCGATCGATATGAAATATTTGGATGCGCTGACAGGAATTTATTAGCTTTGATTTTTTTTTATATCAATATTACACAATCTTTATTATTTTTTTAGTATTTATTTATCAAATCAAGAAAAATTCTTGCGAATTTTTCTTAGTAAATAATTTTATTTTTAGTGATGTAACGCATGCAGTTACGCAAACTATTAAAATTAAAATTTAATAGTTTGCGTAACTTTATTGCATTACTATTACAACTTGGACATAATTCTCGCATGACGGTCATTCTTAAAAAAAAAATCATTACATTTAATTGTCATGTGATATAAACCAACTTTTTTATTGTGAAAAGTAGTAAAATTATAATCTACTTGATCTCGACCTTCTAAAATTTATCATATTACTTATATGTTCAACGCTAACATGTTATTCTGTTCCATTCTTGATATTTGGATATCTCTTTTGATAATGTCCAGGTACACTACATAAAAGACATTTTCATTATGCTTTTGCTTCTTCACTATCAACTTCACCCACCTTTTTACCTTCCATAGCACCTTTGATCCTTCTTTTACAAGGAGCTCCTCTAATTTTCGTAACATGAGAGTTTGTTGTTTGGGTTATCAAACGCTGTTGTAAGGAAAGTATTTCACTATCACTTTGATTATTTTCATTATTGTTACTTCCTGCGGCTATATTCTCTTCTAAACTATCTTCATTACTATTTGTTTTGGATAAAATAAAGCTTTTTAACATTTACACTAACTCATTATCGCTCTTAGTTTCCAACACGATATTAATTGCCATTTTCGCAGTTGAGAACGCTACTCCGAATCTATTTCTTTGAGGAATAACTTGTTGTATATTTTCTTTATAGTTAGACCCTTGTATATGTTTTAAACTTTTGAGAGTAAAATCCACTTCATATGGTGTTGCACTATTAATAGATATTGCTATAAAGACTGGTAAATTTTCAAGAACATTATCAAACTTCATTAGAATCTCGTCTTTATACCATCTAACGGGTATAATACTAATATGAAACTTCGCTGCATTTGAATAAAGCATCACATGCCAAAAATAGCGACAAATTATCCCCTTAGTGATTGTTTCTAAACAGGTGCAATGTGGGTTCCGTCATTAAAAAGAGCTACCAGATTGCTTTTACGAGAAACGCCTCCGATTCAGTAAATTTTCCATGTTTCAACTATTTTTGTCACATCTATACCATCTAACATAGCTTTTAATGTTATTTGGAGTTCGTCATCTACATCTTTTACAAAATTATTATCTATCGTGTCAGCATCTTTGTCCTAAAATAAAATACTATAGTTAGCTCTTAAATAAATGATACACGATCAAGCTAGTTATATTATTATACCTCGTATCTCAAATAATAAGTGGTGATAAGAATTCCGTAAAAACCTTATCAATACTTGAAAAAAATTGGAAAGAAAAATGCGGAAGGCCAATCGTTGTATATTGCGTCTTAATATTTGATAATTGACAATATCGTATTTCTTCTTCTTGCCTCTTATCAATTGCTGTTTCAACATCACAAAGCGTGCTGGCACCATTTAAAGACTTTTTGATAATATTATTAAATGATTCTACGCTTTGGGTGCTTTGTATGCTGGCATTAAATTGTAATGGTAAATAAGCCTTAGCCTAACTGATTCAATTGGTATATAATCTGGCCATGTAATTTTCGTACTCTGGAAAATTTTCTATCATTAACTTCCAGTGTTTCTCAAAAATTTATACACATAACGCATTTCTGCAGGCATAGAAAGCCTTGGCGAAATGGTTGAAATTTGAACCCAACTTGGCTTTAAGATGATTTATAACATTTTGCCAAATATGAAATAAGCAGTAAAAATGTGATGTGGTAGGAAAGACTTGCAAAATGGCATTAATCAAACCAGGCTCAGAATCTGTCCAAAATGATTTTGGGGTAATACCTGTTGCTTTTAATAAACATTGAAGAATCCATGTATACGTTGAAGACATTTCATCTTTCACTAGTGCATTTGCGATATTCTGAAACCTTCTATAGTTGTCTTTAACCATAAAAACACTTAAATACATGTTATATTTATTTGTTTTACAGGTGTTGTCATTTAAAACTACATCCGAAAATCGTTGATATAGTTCTTGTTGAAAAGGAGACATCCAAAAAGTACCAGATAAATGGTGCTCATTACCAGCATGTCGAATGTAAACTTTCTAACGTGGATCTTGTGATACTTTTTCAAAAAGAATGTCAAGCATCGAAGTAGTATCAAACTTCTCATTTTTGTTACTTTTAAGCAGGCTATAAATTGCATTGTAAACATCCCGCTTATGAAATATATGCTCCGGATACTTTTTTTTAACTGCGTAATAGGGGGCCACTTTGCAGTACATAATAAAATTTAAGTCTTGAATCATTTCTTTACTAAAATGTCTATATCTAGCAATAACATTTGGTATTTGAGTGGGATTTGTTTCGTGATTGTATGTACCTTTCAACAAAGTACATCATATTTGATTTATAGTCTTTGAAAACGTAAAGTTGCAGTGCCATTTGCAATCTGTTTTGACAGTATCACGTAGACGGTGTATTGTATGGTCAACCACTTTTCGAGCTTTATAAATACCACTTGATGAACATCAAAACGATTTATGACGGACGATAGTGGGATCTTTCGGGTCCTTATCACTATGAAAAATTTGATAACTGAAGCCTCGTTCGAAGCAGTATTGATGCATAAATGCATCGATCGACAACCAATCATTAAAACTGTCACTAACAGCGAGGTTATATTGATAATTAAAAGGATTCGATATATCATTGAATAATTCAAAAGTGGGAATATCAGAATCAGGAATATCATTAAGTGGTTCAAGATATTGTATATTACTGTTAAGAGATAGTGGCTCAGAGTCTGGTAAAAAATTCAAGTCTGGTAAAAAGTTCACATCATTGGTAAGAAAATTATGATATAGCGAAATATCATCAAAGTTCTCATTAAAGAAATTAAAAGTATCAGAAAATAAGGCTTCATTATAACCGTTAGAACCACAAGAATAAAGCGTATCAAGTTCCATATTGTTTGAAAGTATTATAAATATCCAAAGAAAACAGACACTAAACAAAAGAAGAAAATGGCGTAAATTCTAAACAGAAGAAGAAAAATGGCGTTTTTGGCAAATAATTATGTAACATCACACGTATCGGTGAAATTCACCTCTGGTAAAATTCACCAGAGTAAATTTTACTGTTTTTTTAAATTTCTTGTGCAGATCGCGGTAAAATTCACTATTCCAGAGTAAATTTTACTGTTTTTTAAATTTCTTGTGCAGATCGCGGTAAAATTCATCACGGTGAATTAAAATGAAATTCATCTCTGGTGAGCATAAAATTAATCCTAGTTTTTTAATATAATTTAAGGATGTAGTTTTATAAATTTCTTTTATTATCTATTAATTATATATTATACAGACTTTTTTAAATTAATTTTATTAGTATTTATATAAAATAAATATAAAATAAAATAAAATATAAAATAAAAATTATCTATACTTTAAATTTAAACTCTTATTAATTGCAACATTTAATAATTATAATTTAATGTTAAATTATCAAGAATAATTGCTATATTTATATTTATTATAGTAAGTTAATTTTTAATTGAATTAACTAAATGTATATGAAATAAATTAAAAATTAAAAGAAAATGCTGACTATTTAATAAAAATTATTAGTATAATTATTTTAATTCACTATAGCATTTTATTTTTATATATTTAACTCTTTTCATTTATACAAATAAATATATTTTTAAAAAAATCTTCTTATAATATATTTTTTAATTTGAAAATAATAAAAAGTAATTTTATTTTATCAGTCATACATTCAAGAACTACAATAAATTTTTTTTTCCTAACCAATAATTTTAATATTAATTATATAAATATCATGTTTTTTAATTATTATTAGATTTGATATATTAAAAGTAAAGAGAGTTTAGTTATATTTCTAATTAAATATAAAAAATAATTATATTGATTATATTTATTTAAAATATAATTTAAAAAATTGTATTTTTCTTTCAAATTTTCAAATAAATATTATATAATAGTTATATGATGTCTATTTAATAAATTATATTAATTTAAAAAATTATTAAGCTATTTATTTAAAAATTTAAATATTTATATATCTAATAAGTTTTAAAGATTTGTATTTTATATAAGTGATATTATTTTTATAATTATTAATAATTATATAATAGAATTTTATAATTGCTGTTGTTTTGTAATCTAATTAAATAAGATATCTTCTAATTAAAAATATTTAAATAAATATTTTATATAATTTAAGCATTCTTAAAAGTATATTAATTAATTTTTTTTTATTTATCCAATCTTTTAATTTTTTTAGTTAAATATTAAATTTTTATATATTTCATGCATACTAAATTTATCATTTTCATAAAATGTAATAATCTTCAATTTTTTTAGATATATCAATATCTTTGTATTTTTTTTGTTATACTTGCTTTTAATATATTTTTATTATTTTTTAAAATTATTTTAATAATAATTTTATTTCAAAAAATTATTCAAGTATCTATAAAAAATTTTAAACATTAGATTTTATAATTTTAGATGTAAAAAATTTAATTTTTTGTAATTATTACAAGTTTTTTATGATAACTTTTGAATTTAAAAAGATGATTTTTATAAATAGTAAATCATTGTTAAATTTGTATATATCATTAGAGATTTCTGAACTAATCAAAAAATATTTTTACAAAGGAAAATTATTACAAAAAGCATTTATTATATAATAATTTTTATATTAAATTATATTATTTTTTATTTTTAATTAAATAATAAAATCTATTTTTTTTTTTAGCTTTTTCTATTCAAAATATTCAAAATATTATATTAAAAATTATAAATATTGAAATTTCAAAAATGGAGCTTTTCTTATTTTTTATTTATTAAGAAATTTACGATTTTAATAGTAATAAAATAATTTAAATAATTTGCAAACTTATAAATTTTTTAGAAAAAAATTATTTTTAATAAACTTAAAATAACTTTTAATAAATTAATAAAATATAAATATTTTATAATTATTATATTATTAAAATTAAAATTAAAATTTTTATATTTTATTAAAAAATTAATACTTGTTAATAATATTAAAAAGATTATTTTTATTAAAAATTAATATTAATAGTATTAAATTTACTTTTTTTTTAAAAAAAAAAGTAAAATTTAGAATTATAAAAAACTTGTAATTAATATTAAAATTTTTTAGATATAGATTTATATAAAACTTATATAGCTCTTTATAGTAAAAAATATCAAAAAAATTTTTTAAGTTAATATTAAATCTGAATTTATTTTATTAAAAAAATCATTTAATTTATAAAATAAAAAATTTTTTTGGCAGTTTTCTCCCTTTTTACTGCAAATCACCTATATTACTTATATAAGTTAAACAAATTTATATTATATAATTTTAGATTTATATATAAAATTAGTAATTTATATAAATATATAAAAAATATTTTATATTTTATACAGAGGGTGGACAAAAGTATCTGCACACCTTTTCACTCAATATAAAACTTATAATTTTTTTGCATTAACAATAAACGGTCAATTAATATTTTATTTAAAGCTGAT